AAAACAGAAAGCAAGACCGTGACAGATTTAATATTATGTGCTATAAATAAGATAATTGTGTTTTTTTATTTAAAATATGTTGGGATCTGGAGAAGTTCCACCTTTCTCCAGCAGAGTCCGCCATGGATCCTCCTGAGCTGAGCCTTCGACACACCTGAGGCGCATCTCATCATCAGAGGATCCACAGTATATAACCTGCCTTCAGACCTTGCCTCGACGCCGCGGTGTTTATCCAGTTTGGTTAGCACCTGAGCCTAGCATCTTCTGAGAACCTTTTGTTGCTCTTGAATCCAGATAGGATTCTAATCCTTTTGTCTTTGCTTTCAGGAATCCTGTTTCCCTTGTGAGCTCTGGATGAGCTTAACCTGCCGAGCCTGCCCTCTGAGCCAAACCTGAAGACTCTTCTCTGGATTCTCATGCTGCTCTGGACTAAGAGCTGGAAACCCAAAGCCAAGGTCTGCCCTCACGCTAGAAGAAAGACGTTGAAGCGGTTATCGGACTCTGCTGAACTAAACAGTCTCTGGATCCAACAGTTCCTCTCTCAAAGCCAAACCCGAACTTCTCAAGGTATTAACCTGAAACTCTCAAACTCAAACTCATCAGCTTCCAAGCTAACTGAACTGTCATCTTTACAGACTCCAGTGAACCAGTCCCCAAGCCTGAACCAGTTCCTGTGTTTATTTCCATGTGCTTGTGAACAATAAACTTGTTAAACTTTTCATCCGTCTCCGTGGTGTTCTGCATACTGGGCTTTTCTGAAACCCATCATGACAAAATATAGATCATCTTATTTCATTGGCACATTGTCCACCTTATTTACTCAAATCAAGCGAAATTACATTTATTTAAAGAAAAACCTGATTGGATTAGATTTCAATATTTTGTAATACAATTAATAGGACAAACTTCTTTAAAAAAAATTGTATCTTTTATTTTTGTTGTTTTATTCCACATATTAGCCTCTACACATTCATTTAAAAATAGGCAACATAGACAAATGTTTCCTCAGCTTTCTATTAAAACCACATTTTCTCCCTGCGGCCTATACCTATAGTTAGATACTGCAGAAAAGCCACAAACCAAAGTAAAAAGAGACTCCTTTGTGGGAACGAGAGAAAATCACCTCCCTGTGTGGTCGTAATAATGAGGCAGAGGCCTCAATTTCAACAGCTGCCTTTCTGCTGTGGTTCTTTAATAATGTTTATGTATTTAATAAATTTATTTGATTCTGGCATTTTTGGAGGAGAGCAAAGAGTCTGTACTGTTTAATTTGATGTGCAGTATACCATATGCAGGCGCATGTGTACTTCCAGCATTATTCATTTTGCTGTGAATAAAGCCAGATGTTTCTATTTAATAGCAAGTAAGAACCGCGTCCAGCGAGTGCAGAGTTACCTTGAATCATCAGCCGATGCACTGACCACTGCCCTGCTGTTGTCTGAGGGAACAATCGGTCAGAGTTCTCTCACACATTTATTATTTCCACTGGTGATATCAGCCTGCACCAAGGGAGAACACATAGGGGCCATCCGTACAAATTAGTTGTCAGGAATAGTTGTAAAAACAAATTTCTTGTTAAATCTGTCTTATTGCAAATTTAACTATTTTTCCTTTTTTTATGTTTCAGATTTGTCTCTCATTTACTCCTCTTACTTACAGCACTAGATTAGGCCTCATTAATGTTGCTTTACAGTAATAATGGAGACATCTGTATCAAACTAGAGACATTCTTCTCAACAGGGATTAAAAGACACTTTGTGCAGTGCATTTATTACCCTCCACATGCAGTGCACTGGGTTAATCAGATAGCACTGGGCTCATTCAAGAGGCGAAAGCCTGTGGCAAACTTACATCTCAAGCAATCAGGCTGTAATTGCATGTTTGCTTACAACAACAGCAATAATGACTGGATAATTATTATGCATGAAAAGATTTCTTCTTAAAGCTTTGTGTTTATTCAACAAACCATTTCTTCTTTTATCAAGCAGACACCTTCACCCTTCACCAAGAACATTTTATCCCCCTGATAAGCGTGAATAAATGTTCTGTATAACCGTCGAACTTGTAATATTAAGACTGTGACCCTTGAAGAATAAACAAACAAAAAAAAAACGCTTTATTGAGAGATTTCATCTTTACGCTGGTAATGTAATGCATGCTGTTCCTCAGAGAGAGCTATGTTACACGTTCTGTTTGGGAACGCATCAGATAATCTGATTTCACATCACCATGCACCATGTAAGAATCCGTGCTGACACGAGGAGCAGGTTCAATTTTATAACTTTTTAAGACAACACCTCGCTTCTTTCCAACTTTAGTTTTAAAAGCAGGAGCTAACATTGAGAGAAAGCAGTCTCCATCTTAGTACTGCCAGGACAAAATATGATTAAATATATCTCCTCTTGTAGGAAAAATCTCAACCTTAAATAAGATTAACTGACTCGTCAACTGAAATCTCATTTTAGAAAATAGTTTTTACTCCATCACAGGTTCAACACTTAAATGTATATTTTACTGAAGCACTGAACCAGCGATGGAGTAAAAACAGCTATTTTATAAAATAAGGTTTCATTGAGATTTGACTGATTCAATAGCTTTAATGTTACTGGTGCAACTTTACTTTTAGAGTAAGTTGAGCATATAAAAACATATTAAAGGTATACACGACAATCTTTTTTTTTTTTTTTTCGGGTGGATCATTTAAATAGTGGTCCTCCTAAATGTCAATCATTGTGGTGATATGTTTACAGCTTCCCTATGTGCTTGTTCCGTTAGCTGTCTTTTTCTGTGCATGCGCCCTTGTAGGTGCCAGGTCTCCCTCGAAAAAGAGATTTTATCTCAAGGGACTTCCTGGTAAAATAAAGGTTAAATAAAAAATAAAAATAAGTGTATATCTGCGGTAAGCTACAGTTTTAGACAGTCTTTGCAGCTCACCTTTCTCACCGCAGTTCGTTGAAAATGGCAGAGGCCCGTAAGAGAAAAAGTGTCTACCAAGTGTATGAGAAGAAAAGAAGATAAGTCTGATGCTTCTGCTGCAGAGAGTAGCTTTGCTATATTTGCTGTTATAAGTGGGTAAAAAGTCATTTTAAAATGTTTTTAAATGAGAAAATCCAGCTGAAAACTTTATCTGTGCAGTCAGTTCATCATGATTAACCTACCGTCAAATATTATTTCACTGTCGGAGCCGCTCAGACCCCCGTACACTGGCGGTGCTCTGTTGATTGGTATCCCCTTCAACAGCAGACTCTGGCATGGTTTCTTCTTCTGGGTTTTCCGCTGCTTTCCGCGACGGCTGGAAGGCGGTTTTCATGTACGTAATCCAAACTGCAGGCACAAGGATATTAAAAGCGAACATATTTTGCCGGTAGGTTTTAACATTTTAAATTAATTTAAGGCGTTAAATGTGATCATAGGTGTGATCATAGTTCTCTGCATCAGCAGCGCTGTGTCTGACTCCCTGCCAGCTCCCAGTTCAGCTTCTCTGATTGGCTGATGTGGCGCGTTAAGTAGCAAAAGTTAAATTTTTGCTAGTAGGAAAAAAGCAGCACGTGTATGACGTCATCACCACACCGCACTGGAGAAGTTACAGGCAGCCTGGGCAACATGCAGCTACGCTCTACTCCTTATATTCATTCGGCTAGCTAATCTGAATCGTTTAATTCCATTTTGAGAGATCATCTGTGGTAGCAGCACTAGACATCTTCCAGGGATGTGAGTAAAACTAGCAGCAGTTCAGCGGACAGGATGAATGAACGGTAGCCGGCGCGGGCGGATGATTTCATACACACTCCGCTTGGTTTTTAAAAAATAGAACTACAAAAAATATAACCGCGGATGTCTGGGGGACAGTGATTCCCCTACATGTTATGTATGCTGGCGTACCATAAATGATAATTTTGAACAGTTTAGTTTGTGTCTTCAAGTCGTTGCCCATAGGAAGACGTTACTTGGATATAACCTAACCAAATATCTTCAGAACAGCTCCAAATGACCCAACAATCATATGGGTGATTAGAACATGATGTAATAACATAAAATCAAGGGCCAAATGTAAAAAAAAAAAAACAGTATTACCCTTTAACAGGCAGGTAATATTAGAGTTGAACAAGCACATACAAGAATAACCAAAAGTAATCCTAACACATCCTTGCAGACCAATAGAAATGTATTTTGCGCCTCAGACCATTCACAAAAATGCTTGTAAAAATAATGGAACAAAATTCACTCCATATAAACTAATATTACATATCTATTTCCTTAGGTTATTATTATTTTTTCATTGATTCTAATGGAGAAATTGCATATTTATCGGCTATAATAGTTTTGGATTTGTAAGACCATTTGAGGAAACTTTAAAAAATGTTGGAAAATAAGGAATTATTAATTATGTTAATGATATTATTTGGTCTTTGGATTTTACTTTAGTATCTTTTACATTTTATTTGTTTTCAATCATATTATCTTTTCACATCTTTTTTTTTAATAGCCTATATGTTGGATGTAGAATATTTTATTAATGCGAAACAGTCCTTTATCTACGTTCCTCCCCTTAGCAAAAAGTTGTATATTTGAAGTAAATTCTATTAAGAATACTTAAGTATAACTTTAGAAAATGTACCGAACAATGTAATTTTAGTGTACTTGAAGTAATACTGAAATCTTCAAACTAAATTGGGACATTTTTAAGCTTTAGTTAACAATAAAGTAAACAATAATATAGTCAAGTACACTTGTCTATACTATTGTTAAGTATATAAAATGTAGTTTAGAATAAGTAAACTCTAAGTGTACTCTAAGTGTGAAATTAGTGCACTTTTAGTATACTTTAATTAACTACTTTTAGATAATATTTCCATAGATACTATTTAGGATTCCCCCCCTTCTTTGTGTGCATGTGTGTGAAATGAGATCATAACATCTTGGCATGTGTCGCCAGCGCCGTTACGTAGTCAGACTGTTTACTCAGCTCCCTCTTGTCTCTTCTTTGGAGGCAGGAATGTAAATCTAGAGGGATTAGTTGGAGGGCAATGGGCTGTGGAGCCCTCAGCAGCTCTCCAAAGGGTCTGTCTCACTGCGTAAAGTTAAGAAGCGCGTTTCCGGGCGCGCGGCTCACTCATCCCGCAGCCTCTGAGCGCGTCACCTCTGCGGGACACTTGACTACGACATTTTCAATAGCTTAGGTCCTTGACACATGAAAGGAGTGACGTCTGTCGGATGTGAAGAGTTACTTTATCAGGCCATCTGTCCGGAGCGCCATGAGGGACATGGCTCAGATTAATGGAGTGACTCTTTTACCGTTTGGGGCCATCTGTGCTGTTTTCTTGTGGGAATCTGGTGCCAGCTCCATCAGGACGACGATTTCAGTGGATACATCAAGGTAAAAGGGCGACAAGTTATCTTTTTCATTTTTTTTTGTATCATTATTATTATTATTCTACTTTGATATCACATGTTTCCGGTGTATGACATTAAAATCTGGCAGCGTTCTTGGTTGAACAGCCTTAACTTTATTAAATCTAAATTCAAAACCAGTTTTCAACAGTGTGTCTAGTGCGCAGAGATACAGTTCTGTAATACAATTTAGACTGTGGGTTTTATTGGTTTGTGCGAGCAAGCTGTCAAAAGTGGAGTTCCTTGGAAGAACCACTGCGGCGCATCTGATTTCCAGAGAGACGCAGAGAGCTGGAACCGCTGAGCAGGCAGCCAAATGTTGCCTCTGCTTAGACATAACATGACGGATGTTATTCAGGTGCCCGGTGAGAGCAGGTCAGGAGGTGAGGAGGTGCATGTCAGTCAGATGCAAACCGCGAAACATCAGATTAAATCACTAATGCCTTACTGACAGAAATCTGGTGGGAATTTAAGGAAATTTGCTTTTTTTTTCTTCCCACAAACACAAATAAGAAACTTTAACATCTGTTTCCAGATCCAAATCACTTTGAGCCTTAAAATTTCACAAAAATATAATATATTCTATTGCCAACATGATAGAATACTGAACAGAGGCCGCTGCTTTTAGTATGGAGTGAAATTTGCTCCACTATTGTTACAAAAAAGGAGTACGTTTTGTAAACCGAAATAAAAGAAAAAAGTTTTTATTTGTCGCTTTGCTGTTTTCTCAATTAATTTTTTCCAACACACTTTTTTTAATCTTATTTTTTCATTTTATGTTTTCAAATTTGCTCCCATTTTTTTTTTTTTTTATTTTATATTTTTTTCGCTTTGTTTCCTCAAATTTCTGTGTGTCAGATTTCGTTTTAAAAATTGCATTTTTTTCTAAATGTATTTTACAGATCACATTATTTTTAATGTCTTCTGGGGTTACCTTTAAAATAAGCATTTCTAATGACCAGCATGGCCATTTGCAGATACATTTTTATTGGTCAATTAGCAAGTCAAGAGCAAGTGTTTGAATTGGGCTTCAATTAAAGTGGCTCGGTGTGTTCCAGGTGAACAGAGCTTTGTCTGGAATGTGGACGAGAGTTTAGGATGTTCTGATGGGCAGGGTTAAGATTATGAATTTCAGTTGCGTTATGCAACTTATTGATGAAAAATATGTAATGAAACAATTATAAAATTAACTTTCCTTTGAACCTTCCATACTGTATCGATGAAGTGTCTCACAGTCGGTTCTGTTTTCATATTATTTATCTAATTTATTAATAATATTTCTACCCACAATCAGCAATTAGCCTTTTAATACAACTAGATTTTACAACACAAAAGTATTAATCAGTCGGTCAAGCATGGCTTAATATTGATCTAAAAAAGCCTGTTAAGCTTTTTATGAACAAATACTTGAAAAAAATATATACCATTGATTCCTTGTACAAGTTTGTGTTACATATATACATATATTGAAAAAATAAAGAGAAATTGAAGGGTTGGGGAATGTTGAAGTGTTAAAAGTTAGATCCAATCAACTATCTGTTCACCTGATAGGAGGGCGTTTTCCCATCATGCACTCTGCAGTGCAGCTGCCGCAGATGCTTATGATTAGCTGTGACGCCTGCATCAGTTTTAGTTGTTCACGTTCTCCAGACATCAGACACAGACGGGATTAAGTTGGACAGAGATCCAACCGTTGTTCACCACGCACAGACCAACACTGACCAGATCTGTGCAGGTCTAGCTCATGTCAAACGCAACTACATAGTTGCTGAGTTCAAATTCAGGGGCTGCGTCCTCCGAAGGCCAGATTCGTCAGCCGATAACGTTATAGCGCGCCGCGGAGGCCTGATCCGATTGGACGATTCATTGTTATTCGGCCAAGAAATGCAGCCTTCTTTTTTCGCGTTTTGAAGGATGGGTCTGATGTATCCTAGGTAGCCTTGGGTATCCCATGATTCATTGCGAGTCCAAGCAAACCAGCTGCTCGGTAATCAGAGGACAAAGGTAAATGCCACCGAACAGTGGTGAATATTGGTGCATCTCCTATATCTTGGCAGTGTGTGGATTCTAAATATGATATTCCACAACGGTACTACTGCTGAAACTCCTTGAAAATGTTGTTAGCGCCCAGAACAGTACTGAGAAGTCTGGCATCCATTTTTTGCCTACTTTGTGTGTCAATTTTTACGGTTGCTAGGCAACAGAGGGTATGGGCAGTGAAAGCCGGAGAAGGCTGGAGCTGTTTAATCTTGCGCTGCAAGCTGGATTGTCACGAGATCTGAGTTTTCAGTCTCACAACAAATCCATCTTGAAAGATTCCCGCTTATATGTCCATCTTGTAAAAAACAGCGAGTCGGACCAATGACACCCTGGCAGTGTTTTTTGGGGCGGGTCATGCGCTTTGCCGGGGGCATTAGAACCTGTTTCAATTCACAGCCAAAACTCTTCCGACATTATTTTCCCTGACGTCGAAGAATCCAGTCCAGATAGACCAAGTTCTTGGAGGATGCAGGCTGTGAAATCGAAGACGCCCAAAGTGATCTGTAAAATACAATTTGTAAAAAATGTTAAAACTCAATCTAAAAAACAGACATTTGAAAAAAAAGTATATCTGTAAACCAAACATTGAAAAGATTAAAACTTGAAATAAAAAAATTTGTAAAAAAAAAAAAATCTTTTGAAAAACTAAAGTATGAAAATAGAGTTGAGGAAAAAATAACACAATCTGAGAAAACAGCAAAGCTTTTTTTTTTGATAATATGTTTATTTGTTTCATTTCTCAATTGACTATTTTTATTTCAATTTACAAAATGTGTTTTTTCAAATATCCATTTAAAAAACTTGTCCTTTGCTTACAGCAGTAATGGAACATAATTCACTCCATAATCTCAGGGGTCTGTCAGAGAACATTACAAAACAAAAACCAGAGATACTGAGGGAAACACCAGAAAGTCATAGATAAAGACATGGAGAAGTACAAGAAGGAAACATTAGTAAAACATTTTCCTAGGCATTGAAAACTTCACAGGGAAAATTTTAATCTATCATCTGAGCATAAAAATCTATGGCATGCCAAGACATGGATGCATCAACCTAAACTACGTGAAGTGGAATGCTATATTAATCATAGATGTAGCCAAGAAACCACCAAAGGAAATGCAGGGATCCACAGCTAAAGAAAGCAACATGAAGTCCTTGTACAAGCAATCTAGGAAACACGCAAAATGTATAAATCAAAGAAACCGTCTCAGCTCCTATGAGGCCAATAATCAACTTTTTGGCCAACATGCAAAATGCTGTTTGAAAATGTAAATACGCTTTTAGGAAGCAGCAGAGTCTTGGCGGCATCATGCTGTGGAAAATGCTTTCCAACAGCAGGGATCGTAAAACAGTGTTTAAAAAACATGATTAATATAAAAACAAAGATTTTCAAGAACTTCAAGGGGGGACCTCTATACATGGAAACACTTGTCAGGATTAAGTGATTCTCAATGACGTGACCAGAGCTCAGTTTGCACCTCTGTCCTAGTATGAATTTTGCTCTTTGAGGGGTTAGATGCTGTATCAGAATATTCTGACTGACATGATTACATGACTTATGTGACTATAAATGGCACAGGTCGATTATTTTTTGTTTTTTGGGATTGAATGTCATCATCATCATCATCATCCATATAATCAATATATTTTACATGTTTTACAGATCTCTTCGGTTTAAACAACATAAAAAGCGCACACTTGACCTATAAAAATGTTGTTAACGTCCATGGAGACCAATAGAAATGCATCTTAGCTCATCACTAGAGAGGAAAGCACTTCTGTATATACGTATATATATATATATATATATATATATATATATATA